TTAAGAATTTGGTTTGATTCATTTCCATACGATAAAGAAAGGATAATACTTGTGGTATTCTGGCTCAAGGTCGATATGTTCACCAACAAAAGGGTCTTTAAGTCTCATTAAAATAACTTGTTTATTTGACATGATAGATTCCACGTGTTTACTAAAACTGGATAGCTTTGTTTCTAAATTGCATTAAGTCAACAGCATGCTTTAAATGAAATTTGATCCAATAAAATCAGTGATTCTAACCGAGTTCAGATTCTTTAACCAAATCAAAACTTTGTTCGGAATCTTTGAGCTTCGTTAATATTTCTTTGATCTATGGGATTTGTATTTGTTGATCTTTAGAATTTTTGTGATTTCGAAATATTTTAATGTTAATTGAATGAAACCTTTTCACTTCGAACGCGAAGAGAAAGTAATTCGTCTAACAAATCGACTGCTTTTGTTGAAAACGGATCTGGCTCCTACGACGAATTTTCATGATAGACACGTTAATATTAATCTTAATGTCTATATAAACGAGGTGAAGTCAATAGAAAAGAGAAAACAAAATCATTTTAATGCTTCTTTTTTTTAAAAAAAAAACGTTATATAGAAAAAATTTATTCCTTTTCTATTGACTTCCCAAATAAAGAAAAAATATTACGCTAATGTATCCTATTCTTTCTGCTAACTTCAACACACTTTCAAGTGAAGACATTATTATTTTAATTTCTGGCGTTTCAATGTACTGGTTATTAGTAAATTGTCGTATAGTCCTTGCTCATCTCTAAACAAGGGTCGTCTAAAGCGGAGCAGAATCACGTGATACATGACCAATAAAATTATAGAATTTTTATGGTCGCTGGTGAAGCAAAACAAGAAATAAAAACAAAAAACGGAAAAGGCCAATCGGAGAGCACGCGCGAAAGAAAAAAGCGAAAATACTCAAAAACTAGTGTTTAAATCGACCTTGGTGCATAATCTATTGCTATAGCCCTAGCCCTAAACTTCTATCTTTACGCACTTAGTTTATTTACAAAATTCGATTTCCTTTTTTGGTTTGTGTTACTCGCGCAAATAAGTAAAATCGTCTAAACCTACCACAAGAGTATTTCCGATGAATTTCAGGTATAGGATGGTAGTAGTGTTATGAATCGAAAATCGATTAATCGATTAGTTGTTGCGGTTTGCAAAATTATGTGAAATTTGATCATTATTGCGGTTTGCAAAATTTAAAGATCAATAAAAAAATTTTTTTTGACTTTTAGACTAGACAAAATTTGCGCATTTATCATTTGTAAAAATTTGATTGGATATTTTAACGCGCAACACCTATTTTTGCAAATATATTACAAAATGATGAATCTGCAACTTTTATTTCTATAAAAAATAATAAAATAATAATAGATACGCAAATTTTGTTTATTGCGGTTTGTGAAATTTGAAGATCAATAAAAAAAAAAAAGTAATCGATTGACCAACTAATCAACTAATCGATTAATCGATTTATTCGTTGTCTATTGATATGTATATATACAGTATATACCGATACTGGGTGCTATAAATATAGTATATGCACTTTTTAAAATATTAGTGCCTATTTAATTTTATCAAATTTACTAACTATTCGAAAGATAACTGTTTGAACTAGAGATTAGAATCGAACTTGATTTTTACATTCGAACTTATTTAATTTGAATTCAAATTAATTCGAATAATTCATATTAATTTATATAACCGTATGGGCGGATTTTTTCGATTTGAAGATGATTAAGAATTAAATGATAAGAATTCATAAAATTTAATCCAATCATTTATGATTATTTATGTGATATTATGTAATTGCCGGGCGTAAAATATAAAAGCATAATAAAATCGAATTATATATTGAATTTGATTGGTTAATTACACTTCTTAGTCATGAATTGCTTATGAAACCCTTATGAAACTCTTATGAAACCGCTTATTAAATCTATTAATTTTTTATTGATTTTAGTTATTGATTGGT